AGAGGATTGAGACCGCTACCAAGAGGAAGCAATGGGGGTGACGGTTAGCAACTCCCTCCTGCAGGGCACGGAAACATCCATCTGTCGGCCTGACCTCTGGCTGTGGAGGCCGCTGCCTGCCAGGAGCCCACATCTGAGACATCACAAAAAGGCTGTTCAGACTCATCTGGCCCCCTGATTACCATCCCATGCTGCTCATCTATGTTGACAGCAATGATACTGCCAGGGACAACCTTGGGCAGATCAAAAAGGGACTACATGGTTTTGGGCACAAGGGTGAAGGGGACGGGTGCCCAGGTGGTTCTCCTCAATCCTTCCAGTCGAGGCTAAAGGCCCAGCTGAACGCAGACGCATCCCAGAGAGAACATGCGGCTGCGTCGAGAGCATTGCTGGCAGGGCTGCGGCTACTTCAACCCTGGGGCGGTGCTCCGCAGGGGGTCTGCTAGGAAGAGAGAGGGCATCCACCTCACAAAGCCAGGGAAGAGCATCTTTGCGTACAGGCTTGCTAACCTAGTGAAGAGAGCTTTAAGCCAGGTTTCACAAGGGGGTGAAGTCCAGGGCCCAGTAAAGAGCCGGGGGACCTGGATAAAATGCCCGGACCCGACAGTAAGCATCATCGCCACCAGCGCCCTCAAGGATCGCACGGCAACCCACCGGACATGACCGAACCACCTTCCTCAGCGGCTCGCTGGAGGGCGACTTCAGCAGACAGCGAGGACTTCTCCTTGCTGTGGAGCCAAGCCCGCAGTGCCACGCGCTGCCCCAGGAAGCGCACCGGCTGCGCGTGGACCTAGACTGAGGAGCGCCGGGAGCTGGGAGTCTCGCTGCTGCCAGTCCTGCACGACAACCGCGTCACCCCGCATGAGGAGCTTCCTGGAACGGTTCCTGAAGAACACCGTCCGCAACAAGTATGTGGGCGACCTCAGGGCCAAACCTGACTAGGGCAAGGTCTTTGACGTCACCCTGAGGTGGGACTCCAGAACCACTTCATGCCCAGCGGGAGCTTCACGCGCTTCGTGGACTGGCGCTTCCTCCACCCCGCCTGCCTCAACTGCGTGCCTCTGAATGGGACCATCTGATACGGCCACCGGGACAAGAGGTGCTGGCGGGGCGGCTACAAGGCGGAGACCCTCCCCTTGCAAGCCGCACGCCAGGGCCTGGCAGCCTCGCCACAACGCTGTCCAGGACTGCCTGGTGAAGGCCATCCCTGCCACAGCGGGGGAGATCTCCATGAACTGCGCTGTCCCAGGCTGCGAGAGATCACCAACGAGGAGGCCAAGATCATGACTGTGGACGTGACCATCCCCTTTGAGGACCGGTGCCAAGCCTTCACTGACGCCCGGGCTCACAAGCAGAAGCGCGCCCCACTGTCCGACACCCTGAGGAACCGCGGCCACGACGTGACGGTGGATGCGCTTGTCCTGGGAGTGCCTGGAGCCCAGCAACGAGAGCGTCCTGCGTGCCTGCCACGTCTCCCGCCGCTACGCCAAGCTGATGCAGGGCCTCACGGTGCCCGACGCCATCCGCCGGTCCTGCAACAGCTACGTGGGGCACATCACGGGCCAGCGCCAGCACACCGGCCCCACCAGACCGACCGCCACCGACCGGACCCAGAGGCGACCGCCTGAACCCCCGCCCCGATGGACTCCGAGAGCCGTTTGTCA